TAATTATAATACTGTATATGTATACTTAATTAAGTAACTTCGCCTCTTTTACATACCTTTATCACTGACTCTACTAAAGTTTTACGGAATTCTAAAAAGACAATTTTTATGGCCACTGTAAAATGTCATCCAGTAGGTAGGTACGGTAATTATATTGATAATTAACTTTAGTGAAGCAAAATCCACTTATTATTCACTATAACTGCTACTGTATAAAATTGTTTTCCTCATTTTTTAGTGTTTTAGTTTTGCAGTAATACCACATAGTTCAGCATTCGGTGCTTTTTTTAGATAAACTGGACAGCTTATTATCTCTACATGTAATATAGATTTTTTACAAAAATGGATAGTCTTATTTCCTATTCTGTAGCAGTCTTGGGGTTCAAAGATCAACCTTAAACCTTTATTTTTTCTAATTTCGTCAATCTCGTTTTTATCCTATCCTACTTATTATAAATGCGAAAGTTTGTATGGATGTCTGGATGTTAACATGTTTGTTACTCTTTCACGCAAAAACTACTGAACGGAATTTGATGAAACTTTACAATATTATTGTTTATAACCTAAAATAACATATAGGCTATAATTTATGACGGTCTGTGACAAACTAAATTTCACGCGGGTGAAGCCGCGGGCAATTTCAGTTCAATCTGAAATATTTATAACAGGTTAGCAAACAAACACTCAATCTAATCTTACTTTTTGCTTCTTGTGTGTCAATGTGTATTGCAAATAAACCATTTATCTATCTATCTATCTAATACCAAATTTTAACAGCCTATAAATTACACACACTGTATATTATACATTTGTAACACGTTACTCGCATGATGTATTCATACCAATCGGATGTTAATGAGACACACATATCGATCAATTTATATCTTTTGTGATAGAGATATCGACTGATTGATGCGTCAGTGGCGTATCAGTAAATCGTAATCGATCGCAAACGAGGTATCGATTTGATTTCGATTTATCTATTGTGATCTATGTCAAATATAGGTTGGTAGAAAATTCTTTTGAAACTTCTTAGATGATTAAAGAAGTCTGTATTTTTAAAAACGTCTATTTTAACCTGTGAAATCGTCGATTCATCGAACTAACTTAGTAGGTGTAAAAGTTTGGTGGAATATAATATCGTAACTAACGAAACTTCTAACAAATCTATACTAATATTATAAATACGAAATTAACTCTGTCTGTCTGTCTGTCTGTCTCTCTTACTTTCATGCCTAAACCACTGAACTGATTTTGATGAAATTTGGCATAGAGATAGTTTGAGTCCCAAGCTAGTTAGTTATATCTTCTATCTGGAAATCGAACCCAAGATCAACAGAAATAAATTCCAGTCACGTTTTTCATGAGATTTGATAAGAATTCATCTCTCTTCTCATTCATGTTGAAACTATTCGACTTGTATGTAACAGCGTCGTCGGCATATCAAGCTAAACGTTTTATCATTTTATTAAAGGTGCCATTTTGCAACAAACACATTAATCAGATGTGATGCTGGTCTATTAGCGACTTTACCGTAAAGGTTGTAAATAACTTTCCGATCACATGTAACGTTGGCCAACAATTGAGAAACCGCATGGTCGCAACGGGTTTGCTCGCCGCATCCGGCCGCATACATTAAAAAATAACCTAAACTAGATCGTGTCCAATGTCTCAGTCGGCAGCACATCACTAATTTCTAATTTGTAGACAAAATCAGCCCTATTACCAATACATAGATGCCACAGTTTTTTAGCGATGTGTTGTCATCTGTACATAGATTTTGAAATCGTTTGAATTTGGAACAGGGGCCGTTCAAGTATTACGTAAGCAGATTTCTTACCATTTTTTACCCCCCCGCCCCCCTTGTCATCAAAAGTAAGCAAAGCACTTACCCCCTCCCCCTATGCTTACGTAAACATTTTTAGTTATAAATGTTATTTATATTGTCATTTTTAAAATAGGAAAATTCATGAAAATATTAGGTTTAACTGATACACATAGAGTAAGAGACAAAAAAATATAATCAGAAATAAAGAACATAACAAACATAATTGCATCAATTTATGCATCAACCATAGCATCAACATCAACATAAACACAAATGATAACTTTCAATGCTTACAATACGTTTAGTATCCATAGGCCAGTAGAATTAAACACAAAAATTGATTAAATCGGAAATAATTCCTACAAAAGATTTTTTTGCTTTAATGGCTTCATTGGTTGCCCATTAAGACTCTCCTAAGTTTTCGACTTCGACGGAGTTGTGCTTAAGTGGTGGGGGCCCCCGAAAGGGGCGTTTTTTCGGTTTTCCGGTTATACCGCGTAAAGGACTTACCCTATCGAAAAGTGGTCTTCATGACGGTTGAAGGGCACTTAATCCTGCATTGAATAAGACCAAATTCAGAGAACGGTTTGTTCAAAACATATGAATTTGGTCTTATTTAATGCAGAATTAAATGCCCTTCAACCATCAGGAAGACCACTTTTCGATAGGGTAAGTCCTTTACGCGGTATAACAGGAAAACCGAAAAAGCGCCCCTTTCGGGGGCCCCCACCACTTAAGCACAACTCCGTCGAAGTCGAAAACTTAGGAGAGTCTTAATGGGCAACCAATGAAGCCATTAAAGCAATAAAATCTTTTGTAGGAATTATTTCCGATTTAAAAGCTAATTCTACTGGACTACCAAACAAAACAGGCGCGCGGGAGGCCGGCCTCGCGTATATGCGGACTACGACTCTCAAATTTCAATGGGCAGTGTCGGCACGAGAGTTAATTACACTGCACAACAGCATTTATTTGCATGGAATGTTTTTTATGGATCTAGCTGCATTTTCTACCCTGTTTCCAAATCTGTACTCGGATTTTCGCTAGCAGCTCTACTTTTTGAGATGTGAAGAGTAGCTATTTTTATCAAAAAAACATGGTTTTCTGTCATATAACAATTTATTTAACTATCTAATTAGAACAAAACTTTCATTTATGTGACTTTCTTGAATGAGTTCGAGTGTTACTACTATTCTGGATAATACAACAGTATTCAGCCATCATACTTTCTCTCCAATAGCCCTGGTACCGCTCTTCTATGGCGCAAATATCCTGATGAAAGGGTTCTTACTGCTCCTCGCTTAAATCTCCAAGATTTTCAGGAATTCGATCAAGGTGGCTATGAAGGAAATATATCTTAATGCTCATGTTGTATTCAAGTTGCTGAAAGTATAGTACTAACTGATTGACGTGGTCAGGAAAATTGACAGACTACTTATTTCCCAAAAAGTTTTTTACGAACCAAACAAAGTCATTCCAGGCATTTTTTTTTTCAGTGTTTGTCATACTTTCAGTAAAATTTACATCGTTTATTAATTTTCTAAGTTGTGGTCCATCGAAAATTTCACATTTTAACTTCTCAACACTCAATTTTCGTAACGATCCATTCGTTGAACATTTTCGTGCGGACGTACTGTAGTACAGTACCTGAGATGTACTTGGTTGGGGTTTTAGTGTATTAGTTGAACGCAGGACAGGTCTAGTAACTGACAGCACATTAGAATAAACCCACTTAGAATGATTTTAGCGGTTAATTCCTATTATGTTTAAAACGCAGAAATAACAGTCGTCGTGGTGGTTTGACGGTTCCCGCCAAATCATAGGACTAATAAGGTTCAAGGGATCCCTCTTGTTATTTTTCCATAATTGTAAAGACTCCACACACGTTTTACACACTATATTCGATATCCAGGGCTTGTTATTTGTTTCCAACAGCCGTTGAAAGTACTCCAAATAGGCATTTTTCACGAAGTTTCACACATTTAAACGGGATTTTTTGAATGTATATCTGCCACAAATGTGACAAATCTATTTCGATTGTTTACATAGGTCCTTCTAGACGAAGTCAAGAAAAAAGAAACAGAAACTAGTAAGACGTTGACGATTGCGATATCAGCAGTCAAATGGAGAGTACATTTTAAGAGGGTACCTGTATCTCATAAACTAGAGCTGCTAGAAAAAATCTGAGGGTAGATTTAAAATCAGCGAGCCTAAATTAGTAAACAACAAGTGAAAAATCTCATGCAACAAAAAAAAAGTTCGATTTTGTTGTGCAGTGTTATTAGACAAGTGAATAGCGCACGGTAATTTCCCTAATGTGCGGTAATTCCCCTAATCAGTTCTCAAAGCGAGTGCCTACGCATATGTATTATTTGCGGGAATCCCCGAAAAAACGTAAATAACTAACGATGACGTAATCATCATCTAGACCCCCCTACCCCCATGTCATCCAAAATAAGCAAAACAGAGACCCCCCCACCCCCCCTTCGTGCTTACGTAATACTTAAACGGCCCCACATGGGCAAAAACGGTTTTACATTGAGGATAATGAACCATGAAAATCTATTCAGAAATTATTATGAAGATCGTAACAATATGATTATTTTTACTATAATAATATATTACATTACTGCTGTCTTGCATAAATCTGCCTGGGTCAGAAATGGATAGAACATTAACTTTAACCTGTTCGTATTTTTTTATCTCTCTGCAATTTAAAAAGTAAATTAATTTTATTATTTCTGCGATTCGGCACTTTTGACAAAAAAAAATATAATCAATCCAAAGCCATCAAATAGATAGTGATATGCCATAGTAATTATTTAAAAATCTTAATTATTTAACGGTCAATTCGAATCAAATCATCATAATATCCATCTCTAAAACAATACACATATTAATACCCTTCTCGCGTGCGCCACGTGCGCAGTGTCCGAATATCATTATACGTGATCTATTAAGCAGGGGTTCCCAATCTTTTTCATCCCGCGGCGCACTTACAAAAGTATTTTTTCACGGCGCCCTACTCTTTGAAAAAGATCCAATCGAAAGACGGGCGGGTAAAGACGTGGGAGCAGTAGAGATCAATGGTTTTCAAGCGCCAACGCGACGTATAGGATTCACTCACGGCTAGAGATGTAAAATGACTGAATCTGACCCTTTGTGACCATAAATGGTGGTCAGTCAAATTCAGCCGCTTTAGTCATTTTCAACACAAGGTACTCAACTCACGGCGCACCTCCTTACTTTCTACGGCGCACTTGGGTGCTGCGGCCACACTTTGGGAACCCCTGATCTATACTATAATTACCTTGATTACCCGCCAACATTATTCACTGTTTAAAATGACGTTTAATTTGGAACAAACAATGCTATTCGATGTGAATTGCCTCAGACGGATCGGTGATTGGTAATTAACAGATTATTTGTAATTAAGAGTTAACTTAACACCTGTCAAACTTACGTGTTGCGTTACAGAATACAGTGTTATGAATCACAAAGAGAATTAGTGGTTTAGTTAGATGCATGTACGCATTAACTTTAGCACAGATGTATTAGTAATGTAGGAAGACTTGCAGCTTCGCTCGCTTTTTCCGATTCTACGAATTCTGATCAAACAACTTAATTGATACTTGAAACTCCTCTTTCACCCCTTCAGGATAGGAAAAACGTTGAAACACCTTCTTAATTGTTAGCCTAGAAACAAATATGTTTAGAGGAGGCAAGACATCTAACTTCAATAATAAATAAGTATCTGTGCAAAAATGCTAAAGGCTTTAAGCGTCTTAATTTACAATCGTGATTGAAAATACAGGCAACAACACCATCATACGTCATAAGGCATTTCTTAATAATATCCATAGTATTCCCAAATACTAAAGTTTATTCTGTCTATTGTCTGCAACATCTCCCCTAGATAAGTTACAAAACATCTCAATTGTAATTCCGAAGTCGCTCAGCCCTAGTGTTTTTAGTAACTTTGCTCCGTGAAGCGATATCAAAATTAAAACTGTCACATTTTGCAACTTTTCTAGGGTGACAAGGCATATAGCACTCTTGTTCACAGCCGTATTGTTTTATATTAAAGTTCCTTTTGCGTTGTCAACAGGAGCGGCTCGGCGGAGGCGGGCTGGGGCTGGGCGGCGGCGGCTTCCGCGGCGGCGCGCAGCCCTCGCTCGCCGACTTCCAGCCGCCGTACTTCCCGCCGCCGTTCGCGCCGGCACCGCACCCGGCGAGCCCGCACCATCAGCAACAGGTAAAGTGAAGCCCGGTTTCTAACCAAAGCGGAGAGGAGAGGAGTGAAGATGTGTGCTTTTGGGTGTGCGAGGTGCGGAGAGAAGATAGTAGGAAACGGGACGCGCTAGCACGATGGCCTCTCGGCTGCCCCACCCTAGTCCTGGCACATCTTCGGACCACCGCCTTGGTTGGTATGACCTGGGGCTAAGGCTGCGTGCAAACTGACCGCCAACCACAGGCGGCTTCCGCGGCGGCGCGCAACCCTCACTCGCCGACTTTCAGCCGCCGTTCGCGCCGGCACCACACCCGGCGAGCCCGCACCATCAGCAACAGGTAAAGTAGGAAAGAGACCACAAGAGCCTTGACCACAGGGCGACCCCCATACAAGCAGGTTACCAACTACAGGCGGCTTCCGAGGCGGCGCGCAGCCCTCGCTCGCCGACTTCCAGCCGCCGTACTTCCCGCCGCCGTTCGCGCCGGCACCGCACCCGGCGAGCCCGCACCATCAACAACAGGTATAGTAGGGCTCCGAGTACACAGGCCGCCGATCACAAGCATCCTAGCTTCCATACAACCAGGCTACCAACTATAGGCGGCGCGCAGCCCTCGCTCGCCGACTTCCAGCCGCCGTACTTCCCGCCGCCTTTCGCGCCGGCACCGCACCCGGCGAGTCCGCATCATCAGCAACAGGTATAGTAGGGCTCAGAGCTTATGCCGGCGATCACAAGAAGCCTAGCTTCCATACAACCAGGCTACCAACTACAGGCGGCGCGCAGCCCTCGCTCGCCGACTTCCAGCCGCCGTATTTCCCGCCGCCGTTCGCGCCGGCACCGCACCCGGCGAGTCCGCATCATCAACAACAGGTATAGTAGGGCTCAGAGCATATAGGCCGCCGACTATAGGCGGCTGCTGCGGCGGCGCGCAGCCCTCGCTCGCCGACTTCCAGCCGCCGTATTTCCCGCCGCCGTTCGCGCCGGCACCGCACCCGGCGAGCCCGCACCATCAACAACAGGTATAGTAGGAAAGACGCCACAAGGGCATTGAAGTCAGGCGACTCCCATACAACCAGGTTACCAACTACAGGCGGCGCGCAGCCCTCGCTCGCCGACTTCCAGCCGCCGCACTTCCCGCCGCCTTTTGCGCCGGCCCGCACCCGGCCAGCATCAACAACAGGTACAATCCTCCACCATGTTTCTACTAGTAGCCAAATGTTAGGAGAACACTTAGGTACTGCATCGAGTCGAGGTTTTTTTCCCTTTGCACTTAGTTACTCCCAACTCCGAGCATACAGGCCACAACAAGCGGCCGCTTCCTGGCCTGATGATGATGGTTATTATAACTTACTTATAGAAAGAAATTGGCTGCTAATGATGGTGGGCAACGCACTAAGCTGCTGGCAGAAGTCAGTCCTTGGCTTAGAGCTACCAGCCGGGTTAGGATACGAGCCATGATAAAATATTATCGATGATTTTAAGCGACAAATAAATAAATAATAAATAATAAATCTTTGGACAATTTCACACAGCGCCAGCTAGCCCCAAAGTAAGCAACTTAATGCTTGTGTTATGGGTGCTAGCTTAACGGATATACTACTTATATACTTTTTTTTTTTTTAAATACATAAATATTAGTCACACCCAGACCCGTCACAGAAATTAAAATTCATCATTTCAATTTCTGCCCGGCCGGGAATCGAACCCGGGACCTCTCGGCATAGTAGTCCGTTCTGAACCACTACACCAAACGGCCGACAAATGTATAGTCTTATCGCGTATAATCGATAAAATGGCGCGATAGTATCGATGCCACATCAATTTAAACTATATGCTGAGAAGATACAGTACAGTGAAAAAAAATGTTATCTAAACTCTTCTAAACTTATGTTTTGTCCCAACAGAGCCATGGCATGGAATACGGCGGCGGCGGCGGCGGCGGCGCGGAGTACGCGCAGCACTACGCGCCGCAGCAGCTGCTGCCGCGGCACCACGGGCACCACGAGCCGCACCATTTGCGCCACCACCGCGACCACCACGACCCCATCCATGCGCACCACGTGAGTTCACTTGACGCCTTGTCTCAAGGTCCAAAATCAATTAAAAATTAGAGCTTGGCTTTATATCCCTGTTCCTATCCTGTCTGTCCTCATTTCCCTCTTCATTTTATTTATTTTATTTTATTTTTATTTTATTTTATTGAGCGGCAACAGCGTATTTATACAATTTTACCATACATAAATTTAACATACAATATGGCCAATAACAGGTTTCCCTTAAATTATTACCAATAGTACTAGTAAAGGTTGGAATCTTCTTTCGAACTAATCCATGGACAAAGACCTGCCACGGATTTCCACAGCGACAGGTACTGCTCTCCTCGTATCCAGGCGCGAGAACAAAGTAGTCATTACCGTGGTAATGGGTGGGTAAACCGGTGGGTAAACCCCAACCCAACGAGTATTTAATTAACTAGCGGCCGCCCGCGACTTCGTACGCATGGATCCCGTCTTACCCCCTTAGGAGTGGAGTTTCGTGAAATCCTTTCTTAGCGGATGCCTACGTCATAACATCTACCTGCATGCCATTTCAGCCCGATCCGTCCAGTGGTTTGGGCTGTGCGTTGATAGATCACTATGTCAGTCAGTCAGTCACCTTTAAGTTATATTGTATATTTAGATTAGATTGACAGACACATGAACCCAAAAATACGTAAACGAGCTGTAGGTAGTCTCGTAGAGCCTACTTATTCAATTAATTTAACATAACATTCGCATCTTTCGTCTAAACACCCTTTCTTGGAATGTGAGAGATCGATCCAGAATCATAACACGGCGAAACTATGCGCCCTCTGCACACCCTGCATAGTTCGCGGGCCCAGCGAATTCTTCAAGATATTAAATGCACGGGAACTGATTTTAAATTGGCTAATAGAAATACCTACGTATGAAGGCGATTGCTGAGTTTGGGACCAAATTGCAAAAGTAATAAAAGTAAATAATACTTAATTTTACTCATATTTTACTTAAGAATTTAACAAAAGGTAGCAAGGTAGCAATTAGGTAAATTATTTTAAGCGTCTTTAGCGTTTTCCGTAGGTATGCATATAATAAGAATCCAGTCTGCCTTACTATCATTTTGTCGTACAATAGGATAGTAAGTGTTGGTTTAATTAACTACGAACTAAAAAAAAAATGCTGCTTTTCAACTATTCACTGAACGAAACCTCAGTGAACAGTGTGCGCGCATTTTAACAAAATAAACAAAAGAACATCAATCTTCTCTAAATAAATACAAATTCAAAAAAAGAACATTCTTTTCGAATCCATCTAATGTCATCGAGACGACACAATATTTTCGGCCAACAATACGTTTGACGTTAGGATGGCGCCACTTTAGCAGATTAGCCGCGGCTAATGTTCCGGTCTCGTCCGAGCCACAATAGGCTGTAAGCAAGTCGATGTCGTTGCGTGGTTCTATAGCGATTTATGAAAGCCAGTATGCGACCCATTTCGATCGGTTCTTGGGATTTTTTGTTATGTTATCCTTTTTGTCAACGGTAGTTTTCGAACGAAATACTTTTGTGTACAACTGTATTAAGCTATCTCCTAAAGTTATCGCTGATAAGTGTATTACGCCCGTATTCACAAACGTCTCACAGTGCTCGTGGACACACAGGGTAACACACGAACCAATCACAGAGCTCTATTCCACGCTGTGCGTTCGATTTGCTGCTTCACTTAAGCAAGCATTGTTTGTGAATACGGGCCTTAATACTTTTCTTGTCAGTTAGGTGTGCATTTTTCAACACTTTGTTGGGTCAGTCCTTACTTTCTGCTTAGTAAACAACTGTATATTGGGATAAGACGTAGCAAGAAATGTCCAGTCATAAAATTTAGATTTTATGTATCTAAGTGAACGGTATGGTTCTTTCAGAGTTCCACTATTCTCATGGCTGTCTTCAAAAGGCAACTAAAGGACAAATATGTGAACATCAGGCCTACCCAAGTACCCGTCCCGTCTGGCCAGCGTAGAGAGTGCAGGCCATCCTCCATTTGCCTCTTGTAAATTATAGAGAGGGCCATGCTCCCTTAGTAGAGACTAAACGGCCTGATGATGATGAGAGCTAAGTAGTATGTTATAATGTTGTTTGTTTGTCCAGTTATCGCACGGAGGGTTCAGCTACGGCGGCGGCGAGCGACGAGCGGATTACGGTGCGAGGGAGCAACACGAGCTGGCGTTACACCACGCGCTACATTCCGCCGAAGAAGCGCCGGTAAGTTACTGACAGTCTTACCAACTCAGTCACTCTTAGTAGCATCCTGTGGTGACAGATATTTAGCACTTAGCTGCAAGCCCTCCATCAATAACTGCACTCCGCTGCAAAGGCGCCAGAGTCATCATCTAACTGTTCCACTCGCTCTTACCATCATCATCCAGACTACTCTGCTACAACAGTGGAGAATGATGCACAGGAGTAGCACTAGTACTTAGTTGACTCTACACCACGCGCTGAGATGAAGCGTCGTGTCATGTTCCAACAATCCAATGTAGCTGGACAAAAATTGACAAATTATTTTGCTATGACCTTTAGTATGACAGATAGCTAACTAACTAACATAGTTTAAACCTCACTCACTCACAGTCTCAAATAATATTGTCCAACTAGATCGGCCATTTGGCCACTGTGCGTTGGTAGAATTACCGTCTAGTGTTCTCACTTATCCATAACCGCATCCAAGTGTTTGACAGAGATGCAGATCTCAGCAATATAAATAATAATAATAATAAATAATAAATAAATAATTTATTTAATAACCAAGAAGATGACGATTTACAATATTGTACGATGTATTAATTACTTAAACTACGATTGACAATCGTTCATCTTAAGTATGTCCCTGCCAACTAAACTAAGATTAAACCTGTATCTTAGATGACAGTGATTCCTCCAAGGTGATGAAAGTAATGTAAGTTAAGTGAATCAAAAGAAGAGTTTAAAGTAAGTTTACAATTATTAAGGTTAACGGACAATAAATAATAAACTAAAATAATAAATTCATGTTTGTGGTGCAAACGAGCACAGGAGCTGTGGGTGTGTAATGTGGAGTGTAAGTGTTGTTGAGTATGGTGAATGTGTATGGTGGGATGTGAGTGTGTTAGATGTGATTTCGCCTATGTTAGTTGTTTAGCAAGCTTTCGGTTTCTTTATAATTTATTGTAAGAAGGAACTGTGAAGGAAATATGAGTTGGTCTAACACTCTACCACGCTCTGCTGAATAAGCGCCTATAAATACATACATATAAGTACCTACACGGTGTAGGTACTTATATGTATGTATTTATATGCGTATGTGTAGGCTACACCATCTAATCATCTCACTGTATCTCACATTCTTATCATGACACGTGGACATGATTTGCCGCTCCATAAATCTTTTTCTTAAACACATGCCCAAGTGCTAAACCCTCATTATCTCAAAATTGAATTTTAAAAAAATATCAAAACAACATATCCGCCTCAAAAATGCCAATTACATCTCAATACCCTCCGATACCCGAACAAAAATGTCCGCCGGTCAATAGGAATTTAATAATAAGCTTACTAAATTAAAGAGGGAACCTCCCCACGTCTCCGGAATTTTTGTACTTACACATTTTTAGCTTCTACATCCTCATTATTTTAAGATACAGGATGAAACCGTTAATATTGGAAATATTTTGCAACAGTTATGTGGAGTTTTTTTTATAAAGTAAAAATTTTAATACAACGAAACTGTTAGTTCAGTCGAAAATATCTTCAAAGTTAGATTCCTGAGAGTCTCAAGTACCTAAGTTTTTCTTTAGATTAACAATGTCCGCCCCTACTAAAACAGCCCCTATTGCTTCCTTCCAACATTGTCTTAACTCAAAAATCTAGTAGAATCACGGTAGAGTTTGTAGAGTATTTGGTAAATAAACCACATTCTTTGCAATACTTAAGAACATTATTTTGTTTCAGAATGCGGCGATGGATGACACTACAGGGTTCATGACGGATCTCCCTCTACTTAAAAGTAAGTATAATTTATATTCTCCAATAATAAATAAATAACTAAAATGTATCGCTGAAAAATTTTCACAGCTATTGCATATCGTCATAAATCATCTAAACTCTGATTTTTAATTCGACGGAATTTTGACATTTCAGAAGTGTTGTCAACATTGAAACATTCCCACTAAGAATGGAGAGTATTTTCACAAATTAAAAAATAATCCTTTCTTGAATTTAAGGTTTCACTTGAAAAACTAAGGCTTAAAAATGTACTGATCATTTCAAAACGGTTATTTGAATTTTTATTATCATATTATGGAAGTTACAAAAAAAATTGGGAAATTATTTTTCTATTACTGGAATCCCTGCCCAATAATCCATGGGTTACAAACCTTTTTTATGAAAATCCTTTTGTTAATAAAATCTTAGCTTCATAAAATAATCAATTTAACAAGATGCCAATTTTATAATCCAAGTTGATTATGATGACGACAATGATGATTGATGATCAATACATATTTTCGTTTATGTTAATATGTTGTTTTACTGGGTTAAAAACACGTTTTTTTCTATTTAATCTCTAAAATGTACATAATAATTAGTGTACATTGAATTCACAATACAAACAATAGTTCATTCTTGTAAGTTGTATTTGATGAAATTTAATTTAATATTATTTATTATTAATTCTAAGCAAAAAAGGCTTATTACATCTGAATTGTCAAAAAATGACAGCTGTCAGAATTCCGTCGAATTAAAAATCGGACTATAGGACCAATTGAAATTGTACAGACAACTAATATAAAATCCTTATGTGCACAGTCATACGTACTACACCTTAACTTCGAACTCTTTTCTGATTAATTTCGTTACGAGTCCAATGACAGTTTAACTTTCCCCCGGGACAAACTTGACCTTCATTCGTTGGGTTTTTATTGGCGGTCAAGCTGTAGATCCTGGCTACACAGGAGTTGCAACATAGGCCCTTATTATGAAATGACGATCAAAATTCGATTCAATCCCAATCACATATTTTTATCACAATAATTATTATGTAATATCAAACACTATACTTTTCTTCTTTAATTGAGTGTCACGTAAGACGGACATTTTTAAAAAATGCGGTTAACTATACAGCTTTCATTCATAGGTTCACTTTCTATAATCAGCTCCATTCATAAAATAATAAACTATTTTTATGCGCAATAACCACTAATTTAGTACTACGGAAGCGAACGCTTTCGTTAAAGTAATTAACTACTACTTTATGATGATTTCATGGTGTTATTTCTTAATCTGCACTTGTTTAAATACGAAAATAAATAATCGTATGTAGAGTGAGGTAATTATTCAAATATTTGAAACTGTTACGAAGTAATTGTATCTTTTTTTTCTTGCGTAAAGCTATTTTCATAATTTTACAGCCTATATAATTATTTCATGCACGATAAGGTCATACTATTCTAATCTGATGATAAGTAATTCAATGAATCATCAAGGCAATTAATATTATCATTCAAAACAAAAGCGAAAATGTCAAATCGTAATGATGCATCTGGCCAGAACATCGATGCGCTGAATTAGTACATAATATTGTTAACTTATCAAAGATTTTGATTGTTGCAACACTGATGACCCCAAAGATAAAACTGTAATTAGGCCTCATACTGTACTTATCGGATGGGTGTATCAATTTTTATAAGTAGATTGTAAAAAACTCTCATTCAACGGCCGAGTGAATCGATATCGAGAAATAAAAGTATCGATCAATCAATCGATGTTTGAATAGTGCGTTGTGGAAATGAGACTCCGAATATGAATGTGGCTAATAGAGTCATAATACAGGGTGTTTCTTGTAAGGTGTCAAGCCGAAGGCAGGTGATAGGTGAGGACTAGATCTATCGATTTCACCCCCATGTATGTTCTACGATTTTTCGTAGTTTAGAAGTTATCGTTAATTTTGTGATTTTTTCAAATTTTATGACCTAGTGGCTTAATTTTTTTTTTATCTTTTTTTTGGGTTGACTTTTCTCAGATTTCTTTTTTTTGACAGATTCCCTATTAGTTGCAGATATTTAAAAAAAATAATCACCTTCCTATCTTTGATGCAAGATACAAAATTTTTGCTAGAAACATAAAAAATATGCTTTTAGCAGAACATTCTAAAATTTTCAACTGAAATGTATGAGAAAAAAAAAGAATTTCCATAGGTCCAAAATAATTTTAAAAACTGCGCAGTTTTCTAAACTTTCATAATAACACAAAAAAACATGTACTTAATAGGCCATTNTAATGGCCTATTAAGTACATGTTTTTTTGTGTTATTATGAAAGTTTAGAAAACTGCGCAGTTTTTAAAATTATTTTGGACCTATGGAAATTCTTCTTTTTTCTCATACATTTCAGTTGAAAATTTTAGAATGTTCTGCTAAAAGCATATTTTTTATGTTTCTAGCAAAAATTTTGTATCTTGCATCAAAGATAGGAAGGTGATTATTTTTTACAAATATCTGCAAGTAATAGGGAATCTGTCAAAAAAAAGAAATCTGAGAAAAGTCAACCCAAAAAAAAGATAAAAAAAAATTAAGCCACTAGGTCATAAAATTTGAAAAAATCACAAAATTAACGATAACTTCTAAACTACGAAAAATCGTAGAACATACATGGGGGTGAAATCGATAGATCTAGTCCTCACCTATCACCTGCCTTCGGCTTGACACCTTACAAGAAACACCCTGTATAACACGTCGAACAATGGAACGTGGTGTTCCAATTTCAAAAAGTTACCGCGAGTCCCCTTCCTTTTTCAAATGAGCTTTTTCTTTTTTAGTAAAAGCGGGTGTTAAATATTAAGTAGCCAGTATGGTGCAAAGTTAATGATACAGTAACGTTTATTGTATTAGGGTTGCCATAGCGGAATATTACCCATCACAATGTCGATCACGCTGAGAGCATGTTTGGGGCGTGGCGGTGATTGTTAAGATTGCCATTGTTTGTATTTCTAAGCCGGGAATTTTGTAATCACCCAATTTTTTATACATTGGTACCTACATCTATTATTCGTTAGTATCGTGCTGTTTTTATTAGCACCTGAATAGAGAATAAATAAGCTCCAGGAGATTTGAACAATTTTAACTTTTTGCATAGGAATAAACCTAAATATAATGTTCTAACAAAAATCTTCTAAAAGTAGGTAAAAATAAATACAAGTATATTTTATTATGCAATTTTTTGAGCCGCGTATTTAGAAAAATCCTAATGCGTCGAAATCAAAAATGTCTTTATTAGTTAAAAACCTTTTTTCCCTTAGAGTATGACAACCTAGACATCTCATAATTTACCGTCTATCCTGCAGCAATGAAAGGGCGCGACGGCCTCGGCGGCTCGGGCTCTTGCGCGCCAAACGACGTGTTCTGCTCAGTACCGGGCCGACTGTCGCTGCTGTCATCCACCAGCAAGTACAAGGTCACCGTGGCGGAGGTGCAGCGCCGGCTGTCGCCGCCGGAGTGCCTCAACGCTTCGCTGTTAGGCGGCGTGCTGCGGAGGTCAGTGGCTTGCTGTTCTTAGTTTACTTAGTTTATACTGTGTCTTGCTGGTACTGGGGCTGTCCCTGCTGTATCCACCAGCAAGTACATACAAGGTCACCAGGTGCAGCGCCGGCTGTCGCCGCCGGAGTGCCTCAACGTGTCGCTGCTAGGCGGCGTGCTGCGGAGGTCAGTGGCTTGCTGTTCTTAGTTTACTTAGTTTATACTGTGTCTTGCTGGTACTGGGGCTGTCACTGCTGTATCCACCAGCAAGTACATACAAGGTCACCAGGTGCAGCGCCGGCTGTCGCCGCCGGAGTGCCTCAACGTGTCGCTGCTAGGCGGCGTGCTGCTGAGGTCAGTGGCTTGCTGTTCTTAGTTTATGCTGTATCACCTGCTGGTACCAGGCCAGTTGTCCCTGGTCCCAGGCCGGTTGTCCCTGCTGTATCGACCAGCAAGTACAAGGTCACCGTGGCGGAGGTGCAGCGTCTTTAGCTGTTGATTTTGACTGAGTGAAAAGTAGGACCACCTCCTTCTCTTCTCAAAGATGTCGTTCGTTCTCGTTTCTGGTGTTGTCCATTGCTGAAAAAATTAAGGCATTAGTGAAACAAAGAAATTAATATTAAATCGTTTAGACTTCTTAAATTATTGAATGAGAGACCATGATCATTGTTTTTTACCACCACCAAAGAAATTGATTTAAACATTCTTCAACATATATTTTTTATACCTAATCAAGCATTTTAATTACGAATACAACTAGTTTTTACATGTTTAACAACAAAAAACGTGTCATTGATTAACCTTTCGAGGTGAAGAGGACAGTCGACAACGTAAAGCGAACTTTTTACATCAATCAAACGACTTTCGTCTGTTAAAAATGACGGAGATGATTCACAGTTTCATTCGAGAGCCGCACGTGATTAAAGTTCAATTTAAAAATAATTACAGACTGCATGCATAATACATTTTAGTCGAATTATTCGACCGCCACCTACCGGTGGACGGAATTAACTCCCATTTTACAGGCCGCGTACGTTTATTACGTTTTTTGCGCTTGCAACACTGTGGCTGCGACCGCTAAAGATATGTTTGACTTGGAAAGCTACGAAAATGCGCGCCACTACTTTGCGACATAAGACTTGTATGATCAATCAAGAAATGTATACAGACAACGGCAGCCGGGCTAGAATGCGCACCGTGATAAAATCTAATCGACGATTTTAGACGATAAATGTATGGGCTTATCGCGTAAAATCGATAAAATGGCGTGATAAAAGCTTATCGCGGCCCGCATCCTAGCTGGTCGGTCAAGCTAAGCATTGTGTCATCTTAGGGAGTTGTAACAAGTGCTATTTTGCAACAAACAAGTTTCCATGTGATGTACTTGTATCTTCACGATATTTTATTGTTTTCGGCCGTATTATAAATGACGCACAAAACTCGATCCATTATCAAGCCTGAGTGTAGACTATTAATACTTAACTGAGGGTAGGTAAAAAGTGCTTGCCGTTTCTTAACCAGCGTCTGCAACTTTGTGACTTTGTTATACACTGTAACGACGTATATCGTTCATTAGTTGTAAGTTGTAGTAACGGCAGGTGTCTATAAAGTTTTCCCGTGCAGCAAACCCTTTCCTTGTCTGGTCACAGAATAAATACTTACCGGGTTAAAAAGTCGCGTCTGCAACTCTGTGGCGGATACCACAGTCGTTTCGGTCGGTGCGGTAGTTATTAGACTATTTTTTGTGGTGCGGTCAGTCTCGGTTGGCATAGACGCGTTTCTTTCGCGTTTATCGATTACAATTATCGAGACAAGTTTCGGAGCGCACCTGTTTGAGTTTAACCCTTCGCGTGCTTTGGAAAGTCATCTAAGGCTGAGTTGCGCCATCTTACTTTGGTTTAACAAACGTCAGAAACGTCAAACTTCATACAAAAGCACCGAATATCGTTATAGTTACCGTTAAAGTTAGGTGGTGCAACTCAGCCTAAGTTGAGGTTAAATGCGAAACGCGAAAGCCAAAAAACCTAAAAAAGAAAGACGGGATGATCAATGTTTTTATTATGCACAAAAATTATGTTAATATTTTAATTCGTCTAAAAATAGTTGTCATGCCATCGAGATTTTCGCTGACTAAAATATGGAAATTATGTTTTATTTTCAATTAATGAAAGCTTTTGTTAACAAGTCCCTCGCTACAGGCTCGTCATTACTTAGCTATAGACTCTACATGCGACTTTTTTGCTATACCCCGAAATAACAAAAGAAAACTGTAAGTCTACTAGTAGAGGTGTACGTACTACGTACCTACTAAGTATGTCAATTTATCGGATTACTTGGCTTTGTAATACTACAACGCGCATGCAAAGGGTTAACCAAAGCAAACTCAGTGACCCATCAACAGTCAAATTTAAATCTCGCCCTTATTGCTTACAAGCGACGTAACTTTGACGACGCTTATCGCGCGACAAGACTAAGTGATCGCATTCAGTTGATAACTATACGCCCGTTATGTTACTGCTACCGGTTATCGTAATGGTTTTCAGAAGTAATTTAATAAACTATCCAATTATTGTTTGTTAGCTCACGTGGGGAAATTGTAGTGATCCTTTAAAACCGAGTCTCCAGCGCGTTTTGCCCTACACAATCAACAAAAACATCTCAACATTCAACAAAATTGCCAAAAAATGTTGAATGTTGACATGTTTTTTTTTATTGCGTTGGGCAAAACATGCGCATTTTACTATATCAGCAATTTATTTTAATGTTTAGGTTCATTGTGGTAAAAGAGACGCCATTTTTTCCAGAGGCATAAATAATAAATAGCTCAAAACTCGTAACTAAGTACATGTCATTGATGACAAATTAATGACAATCTTTAACACAAGAAAGGTAACCTTATTTAGCACCTAATGAAGAATAATGTAATTTGCATTTCCATCGGTAGACACTTTGACAAGAAAAATGCATTTATCGATGTTACAAATAACTTTATCGAGTGATTAGATCAAGACCATCGATTTCTGATATCTACCTTTAATATTGACAGCATTATCATACAGCATTTATTTAGTGTTAATCTGAATCATAATTTAAGAATATCCCTATATGAACAAATGGAATGATGACTACATTTTTCATTCATTTATCATTTAAAAAGACAATTACATTTTTAAATAACTTCATCGGCAAACGGTCGGCGCGATTTAAACATTACACAACAATTTTCTGCGCTAGCAACACCCGATTAAAATAAAGTTCAAATTAATTTGAATTGCGATCACCTGCGCCAATTTATACCTACCTACCCTCGTAATTACAAGACACGTGTCCGTTTAGCAGTGTCATCGCAAACATTGTAATTGCGGAATTACCGCTGTAATTTCAGAATTACAAGTGGTCGGCTAATTGAATTTAGGACGCGTTTAGCGACAACGGGTCTTAATGATGGTCATTAGATGGACTTGAGAGAGCTTTAAGGAATATTTCGGAAATATTGGCAATACTTTTTAAAGTTTATTCAAAGATCAAATGAACGAAACTTACAAACGTACGAATCAAACTTACTTCTAAGTAATTCTCTGTTATAAAAGTATCGTTAATGATTTCTTACAGTATTTCATTTAGCTAAAGAAATCTTTATATTTTTATTTGATCTTATTGAAGATCAGAGAGTGCGAAAGGTAATTGTTTATCTATATTATCTATCATCGATCTAGTTTATCTAGAATCTAGATTATTGTCTATGTTATCCATGCAACAAGTTGTCTGCTTCTTATTAGAAATAAGTAATTTAGAACAAAGAACCCCTTAATAGCAAACCCATACCCAACTTGCAACTCTATACCACACAGAATGGAAAAATAGCGAAGGATGCAGGCAAACAAAAGATGCGGTTCCGGACGTATCGAAAAAGTTCTCCCGCAGCCTCATCAGACTAAACAGAGACAGCCCGTTGCTAAAAAAATGTGACAAATAACGAAGCGGGAAGATTAAAGATATGTCGCAGTGGTGTTAATTGACGACATAATAAGGGCCATAAATATTTTAAAGTATAACTACTTTGAACGGGAATTAAGCAGTGACTTTAGTTCTTTTAAATGTTCAAGAAATGTTGTATTGTAACTGCTAAGTTATTTTAACTGAGTAAATATTATGAACAAAGCTTTCGTAAGTGCAAACCTGATGGATTAAAAACTACTCGTTTACATCATCATCATCATTTCAGCCATAGGACGTCCACTGCTGAACCATAGCCTCGCCCAACGTTTACCATAATGGCCGGTTGGTAGCTGCCTGCATCCAGCCAGGCCTGTTCATCTCCGCAAGTTTACATCGAAAACAAAACACGCACGATGGCCCACCTACAGGATACTATTCGACAAGGCCTCACATACGAGCGAACATTGACGAAAATAAAGAAAATGGTGTACTAAATACTGTGCAATATTTAACTGCCTAAATAATAATAAAAACACAGAATGTACTTTTTTAAGTTGCCTCAAGACACTGAGAGGTTAATAAGTAGTTAATATTATTCATGATCATTCATGCTAAATCATGTATTTCCTCCGCCATTTTCCGCAGTTTGGCACCTCATGTTACATCATTTTACCGAAGTCAGCCCTATAGCTTCGGCGCAGTGCCGATCACTGACGTTTGTCAACATAATTAACTTTTAAAAAAAATTAAACCGACTTCAAATGCGTGAACACAAAAAAAAAACTAAAAATTAAAAATATTGCATATAAAAAAGTTCATCCCCAATTTTCCACCCTTGGGGGTGAAATATTTTCTTCAAATTCGCATGAAACCATCCTTTTGATAATACCTATTCAACAAAAAAATAATCGTTCAAATTGATTTATAATCGGCGGAGATATTGCGTATAAAAAAGTTCATCCCCAATTTTCCACCCTTGGGGGCTGTTTTTTCTATTATTAAATTTAAATGGGACCACCCTTGAGGTATTACCTATACGCCAAAAAAAGATTTGTTCAAATCTGTTCATAATTGGCGGAGTTATCGCGTAACAAACATAGAAAAAAAAAAACTTACGGGTCGAATTGAGAACCTTCTCCTTTTTTGAAGTCGGTTGAAAATGGTGCTTCACTCTTGAGACAGGCTAAATTACACCATATTGTTAATGACATTGAGCATACATTTTTTTAAATACCTTCGCGAAGTAAAACTTCTGTACGTAGTACTTATTATTATTCTGTGATCCAGCGCTTTCCTGGGCCACCTAGAGATCGTCGGTCCACCTTATGTGTGGACTGATATAAACCGATTTCTAGTTCTCTTACTGTGTCAGTGTTAATGAAACTGTCCTAAAACTAACTGTTATAATATTCCTACCAAAGTGAATAGTGAAGAAAGTAATCCAAAGAGTCTTTATTGTCCAAAAATCTAATTTATTATAGACGCAAGATCGTCAATTATACCGGGCGTCAATACCAACAATGTAAAGTATAATAAGACACCTCGGAATGGCCGCCGCAAAACTGTATAATGACGTGCCCGTATCAAATGCCGATCTACGAGAAATTAATCATACGTGAATTTCACAAGCTGCATACCTATCTTTTAACAAAAGACAGTGTCAAAACACGTTAGGGCTGCCACTGGAAAACGTTATTTTAATCGGTAACCTTTTAGTTAGAGAGGACTTCCAACACACCAATATTGGAAGACTGAAAAGAAAGTTTGCGTAATTTTAAAATAATTTTATCATGAGGCCAATATACTCGTATTCCCATGGAGCCAAAACAATCCTGTATTACACTTAATAGACTACCTTATTATGAAATTTCATAGGCTTCTGAGCAAGCCTATGTATAACAAAAACTAATTATAAGCACTACTTATTGAGATAGCAATTTTTGCCCCTTCTGAAAACCCTGAAAATCTGAATCCCCGTATTTCAAAGAGCAAATGCTCAAACATAATTGTTATGGTCAAAGATTGTGTGTTAATAAATAAAAAATACTATGAGTATGTAGGGATTGTGGTTTTACTCATAAAGATCTTGCAACTACAGTTGGCAACCCTATATAGTGCCATTGCGGTACTATTTCGAAATTCAAAAAGTTATTGTGTCGTAAGTAGGCACGCCATTTCGATTGAATCAATCGAGTAGGTTATTAATGGATCGAGTATTCAAGTATTTATCGTACAGACGGTAATTGGACGAAAGTTATTTCGGGAATTTTAAACATTGGTGACGTGTTTCCGGTTTTGTTTTAAGAATACAGGATTTAATTTATGGAAGACACAGTTTTACCTCCTTACGTTGTAAGGAGATGTCGATTTTTACGATACGAAATTCTGATACTATAGCTAGGTATGTACTTTTTGATGTCATTTATTTGACCCTTGGTCCTGACCTATAATGCTACATCATCATCTTAAAATCTTTGTATTTCTCATGTATCAAGAGTGCTCAATATTTAAAGTTAAACTGTATCAAGCACAGAGACAAAACATGCAGCAATTTTAGTCGGTATCGAATAATTATGTCGAAATTATATGTCAATTTAGTCCATCACTAGTATCGCCAAAACTCATTTCTTAATGTCAATCAATATTGGACTTTAGTGTTCCAAAAATAAGAGTGTATAACGAAGCCGAATTTTACTTCATAATTATCGTTTATGAATCAAGGAGGATGATTGATAATCTGTATAATCGCACTGGCAGGCAACGATACGAGCGTGCACTCGAATACGCCATTAGTTGTATCGATGTGTCGATTCATCCGATTTAGTTTTCCATTGATTCGAAATTCAAATTCTTTGTTTGGTTCGTTATCCGCGTATGATTCTCAATTCTTTTGTGCCAGCTTAAGCGGACGTGTGAAAATATGGACGCTGACCGGTAAATTAAAATTAAGATTATTTCCTTTTAATGAGATATCAATTAGAAGCTTTATTCGGCTTAGCGGTTCTCACTTCACACGTTATTGAGTATGAATAGCAAAATGGGGTTTAAAAAGAGATTAACTGTATAGAAGCGTAGTTGAGTAGAAAATTTTAATATAAAGTTTCGTATTGAGTATTGGAATGAGGCGTTCTCCGTCATTATTTTTCAATGAGATTTGGAATGAAGAAACTCAGATTATTTTTTTATCAATGGTTTGCACTTGGCCACTTTTTTATTAAGAATAAAAAATATGAGGCGCGTATTTCATTAGAGAGCCATTCTGCCAATATAGGTAGGTAGGTAGGTAGGTACCTATTAGGTACACTTTTTGAAAAATCTTACATAATATTTTACTTCACTGGAAAAGCCGTTGTTATTGTTTAAAATCACGCCTGAAAAGTGCTTTTAAAATGGATCTAATAATTTAAAAAAATCGGAATTGTTTCCGTTGTTACACTACGTTAGCTAAGTACAGTTACAGTGTTAAAGGATTACAAATAAATTCTCCACAACATGCCAGAGATCGCGGAATGCCATCGCATACCACGTGCAAGCGTAGGTACCTACATTACAAAATTACTTAGCTATTTAATCAAAAACTATTTAGGTAGGTATTACTTATTTTGTTATACCTACTAAATATGTAATAGAAGCACAAAGTAACAAGCAATAGGTAAGTAGCAATAAGAGCTATTAACTTAAATAACTGTCCATGAACTGGGTCGCAATTATTCATTTTACGTCTAATCAGTAAAATGATCTGGTATAATTGATAGGTACCTACGATGAATGATTATAAAAAAACCTTATTTAGTCATAGGCAGTAGACTTCCAATACTAATCCACATATAGGGTGTCAGATAAATGGTATATCAAGCCGACACTTACCTAACACCCTGTTTAAAAGTCAGCGTTACGTCATGTTCATAATTTCTCACACTGTTAGGAAAACTTCCATACTTAATAATTTTTTTTAAAGAAAACAAATGCAATGCGTGGTTCAATTGATCAATGTCTTTGCATAAAAATCTATCATAACATAACAAGGCACTCAAATTCTTTCGGTCAATCCACTCACAAGTCCATCATTGAAATGATTTATCGAAAACAATTTCGTTAACGAGCTATAATATAATTTCAGTTAATACTAGTAGCCAGTTTTTGAACGTAACTTCCGTCATAAATTCGGTTACGAAACAATCAACTTGCAACTCTATACCCCACTTTATACGTTTAAAAATTATTTGATAATTGAATCGATTTGAATTTCAAACAACTTTCTACGTGTCAATCACACGCGGGGTAATCGGTTATCGGTAGCTACATCTATCGCGCAGTAGTTGAACTACGACATCTGGTTGTATCATGTCACGTCTGACGAACCTATTAGTGCTTTTTTGGTTCCTTCGAGTTCAATGACTGAGGCTGAATGGACAAACCTGCATAGTCATGTTTGGCTAGCTTTTTGATTGTGATACGTTTATAACGTTCTTTGTTCGCTGTTTTGTGAAAATAGACGCATGGAAACTTTGTATTTGTTTTTTTAATTTAATAATTATGTGGAACATTATCCTGTTTAAACATGGATATAAATAAACCAAACTCATTTTATATAAAAAAAAGTTTTTTTTTAATTGAACACTCTTAGCTACATCGTTTTACAGCAATGTATTTTACTAACATCTTTGATTGTTGTTTCAGAGCAAAAAGTAAAAATGGCGGGCGCCTTCTCCGCGAGAAGCTGGAGAAGATTGGGCTGAACCTGCCGGCTGGGCGGCGGAAAGCCGCTAACGTCACGCTGCTCACTTCTCTAGTCGAAGGTAATTAGTAATTTGATATCACAAAGGTTTAGTTCAAATGAGTGTTCCCTGTAACCTCAGTGTTCACAAAATTATACAAACCTGGTACGGCGCGGAAAAAGTGAAAGGGAAGTTCATCCCTCCAAGGTGCCAAATTTTAATATTATTGTTTAGGTTTAATGCGCTCACTTATTTGATGCCACAGGCGCGCGCAGACACATGAATGCCCAATATAAGTTTAAAAAATATTTGTAGACGTTTCCTTTTCTTCCTATTGAAAATATATTTTTTTCTACAGCGGAAGCAGTGCACCTAGCACGTGACTTCGGCTACGTGTGCGAGACGGAGTTTCCCGCGCGTGCGCTGGCCGAGTACCTCGCGCGACAGTACGCGGAGCACGACGCGCGTCGCCGCAGGGACTTGCTGCAGGCTACCAAACAGGTGAATTGCTTTTTATGTTGGTCTGGTTACATTGACTAGGTCAAGCAAATGTCGATACAAACACTACTGAATTTTAAAAGAATTTGGTAGTATGTACTAGTAAATGAAGTATTTGAGAATTGAGATGCTCGCTTCTGTGACAGAATGAATACTACGCGAAGTCGCGTGCAGAAACTAATCTTGCTGATTTGCGAATGGGATTAGTAGATACAAGGTCGCTCCAGTTTAGGCATCAGTTTACAAGCTAGATAAAATATCTATTGGTATCATTAGTCAAAAGTGGTTTAAAAAGGCGAGGTTTACTTTCATTTAGTTATTTTTTATTTAGTTAAAGATTTTTGGCTTAGTTACAGAATGTAATATTATTAAAGTTATGCAAAATCCTTGGACTGCATATCTAAACGGCAACATCCTTGCAGGTGACGAAGGAGCTAATGGACCTGCTGAACCAAGACCGGTCGCCGCTGTGCAACACGCGGCCGCCTCACCTGCTGGAACCCGCCATCCAGAGGCACCTCACGCACTTCTCGCTCATCTCGCACGGGTTCGGTGGCCCGGCCATCGTAGCTGCACTCACTGCGATACAAGTAAGTAGTCATCACCATCAGCAGGTCACTTAGTCTCCAGCTCTCCACTGATGGAGTACGACTCTCTCTAACTTACCAGAGGCAGACAGGCAGAAATATAAAACCGAATCAATAGTTAGTTAGTAGTAATATAATAATAATAGAAAACTTACAGATTTGAGTCTATTAATTACAAAAAATTCTTAACCGTAACCAGTTCTTGGCGTTGTTTTAGTAGGAATTCCCTAACTGCATTACATACTTATAAATAGTTGTAAAAAATATTCACATTTATTTTTCTTTCCAGAATTTCCTCAACGAGTCCTTGAAGCATTTAGACAAATTATATCCCCAAAGCGGCATGGTGTCTTCGTCTATGGACAAAACAAAAATGGACCCTGACATTAAGAAGTAACAAAAGTATCACGACGTTTTCGTCGGATTATTCTCAACGCGCACACTCAAGACGAGCCAGTCGGGCTATACGGGACTTATGATACTTTTTACCACTAGCAAGACCTTAATGTTGCCTGTAGAAAAAAGTATCAAAACTTTTTAATATCCTAAAATTCTAAACTGCCATTGACAGGTATAGCGTGAGATTGCGTATTTATTTTTATGAACGTCTGTGGTGACCCGCATACAAATAAAGTGCAATTATAATACTCAAGATTGTGAAAAAGTGTACATATAGATAGCGTATGAACTGTAGTATTAATTAAGCATTTATAGTGTACTTAACGTAATTTTGATTGCTCGTTGACTAAGGTTACAAAATGTTTTTTTTACATGGATTATGAATAGATTTTCACGGCATCCACCGCAATAAGAAAACATATCAAAATGTTAATTGTAAATAAACTAGAATATTTGAATGAATTTACATTTTTCACGAATAACAAGAATAAATAAAATTGGTAGTATATTTTGGTGAACATAGTTTTTTTTTATATGACTGAGCTCACTATAAAGGGTTTCAAAACCTTTTTATTTTATTATTGCTTCTAAAAAGTTACTCTTTGATTAATAAATTTTACCAAGAGGTTTTAATTTAATTTTAATATAATGTAAGCAGTTGAATTACAAAGATCAGTGCCATTTTAATTCGCACAGAGTCGTAAGTACTCCTATTTTGTTCCTTTGTTATGTACGGATCAAAAAATTATTTGTATGATGTCTGGTGACCATAGTAATTATCATTCCGTTTATAGTGAGCTTCATTTATTAAATATAAACAGTATTGTCTTAAACATTCCTTAACAAAACGAATCTCCTTAGTTGTTAATTTAAATTAGACATAGTTTTTGCTAGTGAATCAATGTGAAAGTGTGCCAATTAGTTCGTTATTGGAATTTGTAAAATATTCCAGTAAATAGGTATTTAATATTTATTATCATTGTGTCTTTGTACATATAAATTGCTGTTACCTTGCCTAAAACTTATTTTTGCTAAAGTACAACCTTTCTAAATTGAATTGAATTCTTATACATTGTACGTGGTGTGTTAAATTTTAAAAAAATCACTGATTGTTTTTCGTTCGTAACCTTTTTTACTTTATAAAGAACCCAAATACATTATAAGCCAGACATATCCACTACGAGTGGTAACTGAGGTAGAATGTCTTCGCCCAGAGTTTATTAAAATTATTTTATTTAAAAGTTAACTCGTTTACTTTTTGCATAATTCATTTTTTTATTGAAAAGAGGAAAAGGACTATTATTGATTGAATTAGTTTTTTCTGTCTCCAACTTATTTGTTTGCCATAAAATATATTTATAACATTTTATTTTAATAATTTCCGTGTGATATTTATTTTTTATTATAAATCGAATTAGTTAGTTTAAGAGAACCTTGTCTACTTTATGATGTAACGACATTGACCACACATAAATATTTTTTAAAGTACAACTCGTATAAATGTGCCAAATTTATAAGATGTCATAATTTTTACCCATTTGAAGAAAAAGTTGTTTTTTTCTTTTATAAAACTGCAGCAAAACGTTAATTTTGTATTATAGTAAAAACTTACATAGTGTATAAGTTCTCTTGTATTATTTAATAAAGAAAAATACTTTGATAATCTACACTGTATGTTGATTACCTCATTGTCGTAAGATCTAATTTAGGATTTTAAGTATTGGCACATAAAAAATAAAGGCAGCTCTGTAGATAATAAACGACGAATGTAATTATGTTCTGTTTGTTTAAAACCATTTTGTTATATCAAGAACATGTTGAAATGAAGTTGTGACACGTCAGAGACTCGCTATATAACGTGAAGATAAAGGTACGGACGTTGGCACATTAAACTAAACATTGTAGCTCCTTAGCAAAAATGTATAATCTAATGTGTTGGCGACTGTATAGCCGGCATTTGTTTTTTTTAGGACTCTGTCACACCATCTCGAAACGATGAAGATTCAGAAGTTAAACCACGTTATCTAGTGGGTCAGACAGCGACAAACACCAAAATTGTATATTCAAAAAGATCGTAAAAGTAATTTTATTTTAATAAAAAAATAAAAGCCAGTCATGCACTTTTAATTATTCATCTTTTTATTTAATTCTTTTTCAATACCTATAGGACAGTAAGTAACATTAACGACAGTAAAGTTTTTTTTTTTTTCATATATTTACAAGTTAATTTTAACTTACGATATTTTTACTCAAGGCATTCAATAGAAAACAAAAGAACAAACAATAAAACTGATAAAACCTTCTATTGCGGTTTAGGGAAAACCTTTGAAAAATGGTAATATAATTATGGATAAGGATAAAATAAAAATAAACAGTTAATAATATTAAATGATTTTGTCAAGTCAATAATTTTGGTAAGCAAAGTAGGATATAAATATTATTGTGTAGGTTAGTTCTACATACCAACAGGAGCGAAATTGAGGATGTTATTCCTCAAGTCAGCAGTAAGCAGTTAAACCATAGAGCAAAGTAATACAGGTTAAACTTTTCCATTGTAATAAATTTCACATCAAAAATTCAAATGTTTATGCTAGCGCCATCTGCCAAAAGCTTTGAAATAAAGCTTTGCGCGCTTATAGTGAGACTACTCCCCGCTAGATGGCGCTTCTAAAAATGATACGACGATATTTTGTCTGGCCACAAACTACAGAGTATGTTGTACACTATCTGAAAATGTTATTTAATTGTGAAAACTGAAAGTCAGATCATTTATAAAAACAAGTATCCCATTTATCATAAAAAAATATTATGGTAAAGCTAGTTAATTTCATATTTCATTGCCACGTAAAACAATAAAACAAAATGTCTGCTTGACAGTCATGTGGTATTTTTTGAAGCTTTGTTTGAAATGTCAACAAAGTTTGAATTGAAGAAAAAACCAGCTCACCGCCAGCTTTTGTCGCAGTTGTAAAAAAAACTGTAACCGATCTCAAAATCTTGTGATTTGCATCAAAATGGATATTCAAGATGAGCCTGAAATTCTGAAGAGGTGTTACAAGTGTGATCATCAGTTATTTGACAGCATAAACATAGTTTACAATGCATCTAATTCCATGATCGTTATTTGGAATAAATACCAAATATTCGTTTACGAAGACCTCAACTTTGAGAGCACTGCTAAGGTGTTCATGCCCGAGTTTCAAATCCAGCAGCTGATACTATCAAACAATTATTTAATATGTTTAGACAAAAGTGGCAATATTCACACAACATCTATGAAATTCAAGAATCCTGCCCAAAAACGGTTCAAAAGCAGCTTCCAGCCGAAAGAGCAAGGTATTATGATTTGTATTCAAACCCAGGATGATCATTCATCAAGTATCTTGAGTGTCAAATGTGAAAATGACCTGTACTCTTTGTGCCTTAACAAAATTAACTCCGAGTTTACTTTAGAGAAGAAGATTGCGTTGCTACACTCTGGCCGGTGGCCATTACCGACTGCCATACAGGATAAGTGCATTATAGCAATACACAAATTATCAGAAACTGAATTTGATTATGTAAAAAAAATATTTGATGTCAACAGTAATTATATCGTTAATGACTATAGCTTAATTATCATGTCTTTTGATAAGTTGTCAGTTTACGGCTGCTTATTTAGCCCCAAAATGCCTGACGAAGCTGTCAACTTGGTGAAATTGTACACATGCCCATCTGAAATATGTAACATAGAAATAACTGAAATAAACAATCTTTTTATATTGATTGGGCTCAACATTGGCACATTAGTGCGACTGAATCTAAGAAATGTTTCAAACAAGCCAGAATTGGTGCATTTAAACTCGGCCCTGTATAAATTTCTTACCCTGAAAGACACAGTCTTGTACACAGATGCTAAATCTATGTGGAAAACAGACAACACATTTACAGAAAATATATCATTCTTCCAATTCTTTGTCAAAGATGTTAAGGATTTCATAAAATTCGGTGACCAAATAATTTGCACCACATTCACGAATTTAATATACATCTTTCCTATTGACGACGAGTCCTCTTATATTAAGCCAATCACAACCGACGAGTATTGTGCAGCTGAGAAGTTATTGAACAACTCCGAGTATTTATATAAAATTATTGAGGAATTGGAGAAAAACAATACACTGACTAAAAAAATAAATGAGGAAGGCAACTTCGTGACTGCCTTTTCTTTATCAAATAGACAAGATATTATGGATAATATTATTCACCACACCATTACAGTGTATGAATACTATCAGGATGTGATACATGAGCATCCTGGTCTGATGGCAACAGAAGAACTGTATAAGTACTCGCTTCCAGATACATTTTTCATTCTGATCAACCTGTCCACTACCACACTTCAGCACATGTTCAACAACATACTATCGAATGTATTAAATGACGTCAAAATCCATATATCTCTATCAATGGACGGTAAATTACTGAAAACAACAAGCATGAAAGTTACAGATACATTCAAAAAGTTGAAGGTTCTGATGCCGGTAACTATTCAAGATGAGAACATATCAGAAATGGATGTGAATATGGAATTGGTTACAAGTGTGCCCGGAGCTTTTGAAGAGAAGCAAAAACTGTGGGTCACGCTTTACAGGAGACGCGTAGTACTTACCTCAGAGCATTTCATACAATCTGCTGTACCAAATACGGATTATCCACCTAAAAGAGAGACGAACATTGAGAAATTAGCCTGGAATTTCACTCAAGATTACTATCAAGAAATGGTGAAAGTCACTAACCTTATGAAGTTGGATAGCGTACCCAAATTCTCCATATACCTAAAACTGCCCAACAACTTTGCTGAATTGTTGAAGAAAAATGCTGACCATCTGAGCTATTTGACTAAAATGAGAGCCGAACAAATAGTACAGAATTACTCATCAGAAGAATTCTTGAAATCAAATAGCCCTATTACATTTGAAGTAGGCAGCAATAGCGTTGCTGTAGAAATCGTGAGCGATGATTTTTCAAAGCCACTTTTAAAGTTCTCATGTGGGAATATGACCGTAGCACACGATATAAGAAGCTTATTTTCAAAGATTATTTACGATGATTTCAAAAACTCTGGGCCTGGTCAGGAGTTTGTAAAACACGCACTGTATTATGAAGCTGAGGTATGTATAGTTGTAGCAATTTAATGAAATCATTTAAAACTTAATCGATTAAAATTATGCCTATTATATGAATTATTAACTTTCTAGAAAGCACACAATTTAATGTAATGTCTAGTTTTAAAACTTAGACCACTAACAGTAAAATACATAATCAGAGTTTACATGTCTACTTTCTTATTATTATTTAATTTATAAATATTTCTAATACCTATATTTATTCGTTTTTATTTTATTTTACAGAAAGTACTCAAGAAGATCAAGAGCTGTATACAGAACAAGCCACATTTCAAGGACTTTCAACCAGTTGCTGATGAATTTGAAAAAAATATTATAGGTGCTCTTCCAATTTAATGAATTTTTATCACAATTTAATAGTTATTTAGTAAGGAAATGTGATCTTAGTGTAAGAGAGAGAGGCTGTGATCAATATAATTTTTGTCATTATGTACCTCGTATATCGCATTCTTTATTTTACCATTACCATTAAATGATGTACAGGCAACAGCACATCAAAGTAGGTACACATTTTTGCTGCATAATCACCTCTATTAGCCTAGGCGCAAAACACCAACATTTAGTTGAGCGATCGATAGTTGGGTCGGGCTGTTACGAGGGCTGCACTAAAAGTATCGGGAATGGTATATTTCCACTGTTCCTATCATATTAAAATATTTTTAATTGCAAACTCCTTGGTTTTAAGCATCGAATACCATTTATTTATTTTAAAAAAAATTCTCGGTCTTATCACAAGGTCTTGTGAAACTTGTTTAGTCGCTGAGAAAATGGAATTGACTCGAGAAAATTCAAGAGCGATGATTTATTATGACTTTCGGAGTGGTTTAACACAAAAACCGTGTGTTGACCGGATGATTTCTGCATTTGGTAATGAAGCCCCATCCATAACCACAATTTATCGCTGGTTTGCTGAATTTCAACGTGGACGTGTCAAGCTCAGTGATGGTCCCCGTCAAGGTCGTCCAAAAACTGCAGTCACCCAATAAAACGTTGATGCTGTGCGTAAGCTGATTGAAGAAGATCGACATGTGACATACCGCGAAATTCAGGCAACTTTAGACATTGGCATGAGTCAAATACAAATAATCTTGCATGAACAATTAGGTGTAAAAAAGTTGTTTTCCCGATGGATGCCGCATTCGCTCTGTGAAGAGCAAAAAGCGGCTCGCGTTACTTAATGCGTCAGAACTCTCGGAAGATTACATGCAGGATCCTCAAATGCTGTATACAACATCGTATCAGGTGACGAATCCTGGATATATGCGTACGAACCCGAAACAAAAAACCAGTCACGAGTTTGGGTGTTCGAAAATGAGTTAAAGCGCAAATCACTTGTCCAAGTTCGGGACCTTGTCATTTAAAAAATATAGTTCTGTTTCTTTCGCTCGAAAGTAATAATGCTTAAGTATGAATGTGATAGCTATATTTTCTAGGCACTATGGTTGCTTTTCAACCAAATTTTTCTCAGTCTGTGTTTGAAGATGACGCGATCCGCGGTGCCCGTCTGGGTAGTGAAAAAGATGGATGTTTTTTATCGTTTAGATGCTTTGGAAGTGTGTTTTTCTTTATAAAAAACGTGTATAATGTGATTAACTTTGGAAATAAGTGTTAATATATAACATTGCTTCTAATTTTGAAGGTGAATCAAGTGCAATCACAAAAAGTGACAAAAATTGACGAATCTTTTTTTTCAAGTAAGTGTTGTACCTAAAATATATATTTGTTAGCCTTAAAAGTTACACCAAAAGACGGGTAATTTTATCCAGATTCCAAAAATGTGACTCGATAGTATGTAACGGTAATAATGATAAGCTATTTTAGGGAAAATGCGCAACGGGAATTTTTTTTTTTTTTTCCCGCGGGAAGTGGGGGGCACTTCACGCAGTAGCGCCTTCCCGCCGCAGGTCGCTTGAGGGGATAATTGGTTTCGTGTATGGAAAAATGTGTCAAATTTCGCGGAGAATACTTTAAAAAGCAATAAATACATTTTTAAATAGTAATGTTGTTTCACTTCCTTGATTCCCGAAATTTTCAGTGCCGCCCTCGTAATCAGTATGGAGATGTATGAAAGTGCGCACATAACACCAATTTGTTATCGGCCAACTAACAGTTGGTGGTCTGCGCCTAGGCTTACAACTAATTAAGATCCCCAGTGTTTTGATGTGCTGTCGTCCGTACAGTGGGCCACACACTTAGGCTAGGCTTAGTTATTTTTCGGTCATGTTGTCTACTTGTCTCGTAAAGGATTACTATTTGATCAGAGCGAATGATAATTGAAATTCTTACATGGAACTGTAGCCCAAAGTTCATTATTTTTTTTAGAAAAAAATATACTTAATAGTTTATATTGCATAAATTAGCACTAAATACCTAATTATTGTGTTACGGGTGTGTGCACCACACACAATAGTCCAGCGGGAGTCGGGTTCGAACCCGCGTTCCCCGACCCGACTAATCCCACCCCTTCACTGTTGGGCTGTTACAGATCGAGAATCGAGATCGCTTCACCTACACATACATTGTAAGCACAGTTTTAGTTTTATCAAATGGGCCCTCACATTTTGAACTCCTATGTTCTGATTAATTTCATTGCGGGTCTGATGACAGTTAACTTTCTCCCAGAACAGACTTGACCTTCTTCATTGGTTGGGTTTTTATTGGCGGTGGTAAAAGCTGTAGATCCTGGCTACAGAGGAGTTGCAACGGTGGGAATAGTGAAACGGACCCTCACACCACACGAATTAACCTGGCCATCCATCATCTCATCATCATACTCTTTCAGTCAATGATGAAATGACCTCTGTCCTGTCATTGGTCATTTATGCACGCACAGTGATCGCCGACGCGAACTACACACGTTGGTTTGGCCGAAGCTTAAGCCTAGGCGCAGACCACCGATTTTTAGTTGGCCGATAGTAATTTGTATGATAGGTCCGATTCTAATTTGTATGAAGAATTGGCCGATACCAAATCGGTGTAATGTGCGCACTTTCATTAATGTCCATGTTACGGTTAATGTGATAAATTGAAAATTATTAATAATAACCGGTTATTATGAATAATTACCGACAGTCGCGGTAAAAGTGATAAATTAATCACATTTAACAGTGATTATTTAATAATTCAACCTTAGTACTAACAAATTTCATAAAATAGTACAACATCTTGTGTACGTGCTCGTGTACAGCTAAACTTTTGAACGTTTTGATATCATATATTAATATAATTTGGCATAATGAGTTTGGAATGTTTCTTGCATAATATTACTTTTCCATGATGCCTATAACATAATGTTTTGATTTAAAGTGAAAAATAGGTTAAGGTGCGGCGGGGGTGGCCCTTGGGCCACCCCTAAGCCGCCTATTTAGTTTTATACACACATAAATGACCTCATATTAATCACATTTACCAAATCATGCGGTAATTATTCATAATAACCGGCGATTATTCATAATTTTCACATTTATCACTGACCGTAACATCCATACTGATTACATAACAGCGCGTCCCAACTATCGGTCGGTATCCCAAGTATCGGTCAACAAAAAATCGGTGGTCTGCTCTAGGTTAACACATGGATATAAATTCTGAAAAGGGTTAGGATAATAAACAGCTAGGTAGTAAATGAAAGTCGTAAATAAATTTAAATCTATTTATTTTAGACCATCCTTCTCAGCAGGTCATTGATCTTGTCCTCGCGGTTACCGAAGTCTCCGCCATCGACGTAGTGAATGGTCTTCTTGCGCCAGCCTCCAGTGGGGTTGTTCAGTTTGAAGGGCCACAGGAAATTGCTCGCGTACTGTTGACAAAATGACGTTTTAGAGTTTATTTTTGAATAACTAGAGTAGCACACGGGATAGAGACACGATTTCAATACACATCTCTGCGTTCACATATACGTTTTGTTTAGCGCTCGTCAGTCAGTTGGCGCCACTGTAAAATAGATCTAACTTGACCTTCACTGGTTGGGTTTTTATTGGCGGTCAAGCTATAGATACGCTAATTTTTAACGTCTCCAATACAAACGCGCTTCTTCTATCCGTAAGCGCGTCTGTATTGGAGACGTTAAATTGCAAAGTTGAGGCGAATACGTACTCAAATGTTAAATAAAATGAACATTGAATATTCAATACACTAGCTGCGTCGTTTCGTTAAATGTCTGCAAGCGAGACAAAAAGCACTTGTCAATCCGACTACGCAAAACAGCCTATTACGATAAAAATCTTTGCCTTTGTTGATGGCCTCAACTCTCCTTGCGCGATCTATAGCAGATGTGCGCTTCAGGCGTATATTCTTGCCATGCTATACACCACTAAATTTTTATCACCGAAAAAATTTTAACAGATTATGTAGAAACGTGTGAAAAATTTAAAGCAAAAGAAAAACAAATGTTTTTCATAAAGTTAATTTTTTTATTAAATTTTCTTTAGTCCATATTTTACGCGTCACAGCTGGGTCACTCCTCTGCTCGCTAGAGTAGTCGTACGCGCTCGCACGTTGCATCGATCTGTCTGTCTCGCTCACGCCTCGACCACGTTTCCAGTGTTGTTATTACATACTTAGCTAACTTAGACCATTTTGAATTCTAATAAGTGTTACATTATCGTACGTAAATAGTGCTAGCGACGTGTGTGTCAATAAATTACCAATTTTAGGAGGATATTTTGAGTCACTTTATTTTACTTTTTTTTGCACAAATGGGATCAGTATCAATAACTCATTACCCAGAATTTTTTTTTCGGTGATTAAAATTTAGTGGTGTATACAATCTAATCATTTCCCCAATAGTGTATACTTTGGAACACCCACCTTGAACTTGTCTCCGACGGTGAAGATCTCGTGGATGAGGTCCTCCACGCAGATGATGTTGTTCTTGCCGAGCTTCTCCTCGATGGTGGTGTTGGACGTGATGGGAACGCGCTGGCCCTTCACCTTCGCGAAACCACGCTTGTACACCAGCTGGGAACATCAATTACAAGGTTAAAAATGCTCATCGACTTGCAGTCTGTTAACCGATTGAGTCCCAGACGGCATTAATTAATGTCATAACAATTGATTATCTATTGTGTCTAGATTCGCGGAGCTTGAAGGATTAATCAGTATGGGCATGTATGAAAGTGCGCACACTACACCGATTTGATATAGGCCATTTCTTCACTTCATACAAATTAAAATCGGGCCCAACTATCGGCCAATTAAAAGTCGGTGGTCTGCGCCTGCGCCCTAAAAACTCCAGTTTCGAATGTTACTATCCCTCTCACGCAAAACAATATGCCTACGTGTACTACATAAACGACAGTGACAAATAGACCCGAAACTACGTAAGTAGCATTTGGGAGTAGCCCTACAGGCACTGATTGGTGGACCACCTTCTCTTTTTTTTAAAAGGAATCCTTTTGATTTTATCGTATTGTCTTTAGGTTTTTTAGGTCTATCAGTGCATTTTCTTACTTCAATAAAGGTACCATTTTCTAATTGTTTATTTTTCAACACACACTTCTGTCTTCATATGGTAGGAAACATGAAACCATCTTTCTGATAGACGATCTTTGTCTTTAGACAAAAAGTAACATGTTTTCAAGATTCAAAATTCATAAAAAATAATTTAGTGGTTACAGGAACAGATAAAGACTTGACAGAATTACTTTCCAACTTACAACATTAGAATGGAAACTATGAAAAAGTAATACAAAACTGATATGTAGTTACTTTCCTATTCCTACATTAGTAAGGAAATTATACTGACCTCACGTACACTCTTCAGGTTGGGGTATCCCCAGGTGATGTAAGGCTCAGCGATACGCAGCATGTTGACGGTAGCTTTGTTCAGTCTGACGAACACACCGTTGTTGATCTGACGCAGTCTGAAGAGCTGCAGGACTTTGCGGACCTGGTACGGAGAACAAGAATGTTAATGGGTTTGATAAGCATAAGATTTTTTTATATTTGTGAGTATGACGTCAGATTAGAAAGTTAACAGCATCTTTATCAGATGAACTATGCCTTTAATTTGGGATCATCATTTAGAACATGAAATAGAATTTGAATGAATGAATAGATACTAAAATAGAGAAACTCGAGTCTCAACGTTTTTAAATCATAAGTATACAGGGTGGAAACGATAAGTGATCTCACTCGATTATTTCTAAACTATACCAGATATCGAAAAACTGGTTACTGATCCTGAAAGTGCTTCACGAGCTCTTTCAAATGGTACCAATAACAGGTTACAGAATAAACGGGATCTATCCGAAAATTCAATGTTTCCAGCTTCCATACTAAATGTATGCCAACCACTCAATATTAGTTATTTAAAATTATTTATGGAAAACATTAGTTTTAGGCTTTATTTGCTATAATTTATCAAGAGATGAGTGCCATATCTGTGATAGTACTAAATGTATGGAAGATGGAAACATTGATTTTTTAGATAGATCAAGTTTATTCTGGAACTTAATATTAATACTGTTGGATAGAACTCGTGAAGCACTTTTAGAATCAGTAACCAGTTTTACGATGTCTTTTGTAGTTTTTAATATTATGAGGCTGTACCAAATGTATGGAAGCAGGAAACATTGAATTTTCGGCTAGATCCAGTTTATTCTTCAACCTATTATTGGTACCGTTTGATAGAGCTCATGAAGCACTTTCAGGATCAGTAACTAGTTTTTTGATATCTTGTATAGTTTAGAAATAATCGAGTGAGATCACTTATCGTTTCCACCCTGTATGCTAACAATAAAATGTACTTTGACAGAATATTTTTTTGACAAAGAACTCTTCAGGAATTAATATCTATTAATCAGGAATAAATAAATCTTATTATTATTATTATTATTGTCGGTGTACACTTTTGTGCCTCAGCTTTTCGCCGGTTTCGAGGGAATGCACGGGCCTAATATTATTATTATTAATTCTAATAACATGAATGCACAATATTGCAGATGTTTCATACATATCTGCTTGAGACATGCCCATATTTGGGGGACCAGTAGCGAAATATTATGCAGTTATTGTTAATAAAAATAATGAAAATGGCAAATTACCTTGGGTGACACCTGGTTGATACCACGAATACGGATGACAAAGGCCAGTTTAGCTTCACCAGGAACATAGTAGTTGCCACGGTTGCGTGCCTGCAAATAAATATTATTAAATATAGATGACCCACGCTGAACTGTCCCACCAAACTCAATGACAGGGGGGCGCTACCATCGTTCAACTATATGGTTTCCAACATGGCAAAAATCTCTGAACCAGCGATCCGGTATTGACGGTGGCGCCCCACTGTCAATGTCATCGACAGGACAGTCCAGTATTTTGGAACTATAACAATCATGTTTCTTCTTCTAGTTTTCAAGATAAAAAAAAAGAAATGTTTTATTAGTCTGTATTATGTTATGTATAGTAACCAAAATCATGTGCAAAGTATGTTTATATGCATTGGAGCTTCTGCAAGCCTATGAATGGTTTTTTGGCCAATTTATTTGCTAGACAACATTATTTTTCTTGCACTATAAAAACATTAATGACAAATTGATTTATATTTGAGAGAAAACTGAAAAATACAGAATCAAAAGAAAATATTACAACTAGTGTAGCCAAAAAGGGTTGGTGATAAGAGTAATCAAAATCAAAAACATTTTATTCAATTTAGACCAAAAGTGGCACTTATGAACGTCAAAATATAATAAATAAAAAAAAGGTAGCCCTTATGGGGCACTTTACATGTCTCCTTATCTTTTGGGCCCTACCAGCGCTTCGAGACAAACATATGGCAAGTGCTGAGAAAAAACTGCTGGAAAAAACTCAGTCACCACTAGTTGCCAATAATCATTGGAATGCTGACTCACCTGTCTTGCTAGCCTAATCTCATCGCGTTCCTTGATGCGGTATTCCTTAACATACTGTTCAGCCCTCTTGAAGATTTCCTTCTTCTTCTTGATGGCCGCTGTACGCCTCTTGAGTGTGACCTAATATAAAAAAAACACATTATAACAACAATTTCTACACAAAACTATTATTAAAGTTGATTAGACAGGTCAGGTATAAAGAGTAAACCATCATGTAGGTCAGTGTGATTTTTCATCATTCAACAACAAATTGCTATACCAAAATTAAAGTAGCAAGAGCATTTATTGCTGGAAATGCCTTGGTACGACAATATCCTTTTCAAATTGAATGCTAACAAGGTATTTAAACAAGAAATGAGCCTATTGCACAGCCACATCAAGACACAAAATCCCAAAAATTATCTCTCCTGGAGCAATTTAAGTCATTGAACGCCGAGACGCTAGACACAATGGAAAACTCACCGGTAAGCCGCGTGGCGTCCAACGTGTTAAAGTCACAATAGACGTTTAGACTATTCTTACTATCAAAAGCAGAATTTAATGATAGGCAAAGGCAAAATAACATGATGCCCTAATAGAAAATGCTTTCTTCTTCTTCTTTTATTTTGGCAATGACTTGGTTTTAAAGACCATGATTTCGCCAATGTCAATGTAAACAGTAGAAAATGCTTGCCAGCAGAAAATACCAAATTAACAAATCTTATAGGAAAAAAAGAATAGAAGATTTTAAGTTTTAATAAGTTTCCAGACTATAATTTCCTTGTTGTCTTGATGTGTAGTGCCACTATTTTCCAAAAAGTCAAATAAGAATACGTACTTGGAGGCGGCGAGTGCGGAGATGTTCTCTCCGTTTGCGGTGCTTGAGCACTGACTCTGGGACGGCGGGCAGCTTCTTGCTGTCCTCCTTGCCCTTCACGGGCTTCTTCTCTGCCGCTACCTTCTTCTCTGTAGTCGCAACCATCGTGCTGCAACACAAAATAATTTTATCTCAACGAACGCTGCTGAAAATCAGGAACTTTACCCTATGTTTAGGCTAAGGATAAAACTCATTGTGTAGCTTATTATAACAGCTAGTCCACTTAATACTTTTAAATCATATGAACATGATGGATAAATTTGAAGAATATTGTGTCAATAAAAAAACAATCTGGAATACAAACAAGTTTGAGATTTTCTATTGCTGGCAGTGTTAGAAAATAGTTATAAAAACCTAGGTATTATTTTTAACTAGGTCCCTGCCTAGTCTAGTTGAGGATAAGGTATAAAATAGGTCTAAATGGTGAGGAATTATGAATGTGTGAGGTTAGCCAGAAGGAAGTTGATGAAACGACTTTTAACTTATTAGATAGTATCCACTTTAAATTTACGTTTCATCTGTATAATAATCTAGAATGACTAGCTCAGGCCAGCAACAGGCCGTAGAAACACTCATTGTGCATGGCATGAAACATTGGAGGTTAGATTTTGGTAACAACACAAATTAACTTCGTGGACACTAATGAACATAACGAGTGTAAAAAGTCACGAATTAGCATATAATTGGATCGCAGAAGGCAAAATAAAGGAGAAATGCTGTAAAATCAAGACATCAACCAAGAGGCGGCATGTCATCCAACAATGTACAATCTTTTCACTTTTTCACTGTATTCCACTATTATTTAACGTATACTGACACTGTAAAAGGACTCCTTGATTTCTTACAAACTAAATTACACCAGTTTTACTACAAAATACAAAATAATTATCAACCTGCGGGGCAAAACTCCACGCGGCACGTGTGTCAAGTTATCAAAAGAAAGACAGAAAATTGACTTCCGCTGACCGCCATATTTCTATTATTTTATTTCTGGCAACACCACAGAACAGTTCAGAAACTTAAATTGTAGCCAGCCGTATTATTTATTTTCTAAAATTGTTTGTGAAGATGCACAAAAATATTGCAAAAACTGATCAAAAATATTCAAGGAACGTGTGAGGCTGAGGTCGTGTTCACAAAGTGTCAAACTTTAGAAAACAATAAAATTTATTTTTGATTTTCTTGACATGACGTATCTATGACCGGAAAACATATTGATCAAATCAAACGTTACTACAGTTACTGGATAATTTTTATTAATAAAAATAAACGAGAATTGTTAAAGAAAAATCTAAGAAAATGGTTGATAAAGATCCCCAATTAAGAGCGCTAGAAATAGGAGAAGTTGACATGTTTGTGGAAAGCATGGAACCAGCGCGTATAGAAAGTATTGGAAATCAAGCGTAAGAATTTGAATTGCCTCATGGGCTCATCCACTTCCTATCAGATTATTTTTTATTCCAAATATAACAAACCAAACAAAGAAATAATCTGACTATAATAATTCAAATTAATGTAGAAAAGTTTATAAAAAAAATTCAAAAGTTAGTCTACTCACCACTAGATGGCACTGTACTAATCGCAAAATTGCAGTGTTTGGTCAAGGTTCTATCTTCCTCGGAAAGAAATCCATAATTAATTATTTCTTTTAATCCTTAATTTTAGGTTCTTAATTTTAAATATGTTTGTAGCTGGATAGACTGGCACATAAGGCTTCAGAAAATCAACCAACAAACTGTACTAGAGGCGCAGTCAATGCAAGAGGAGTTTACTAAGGAGTTGCTTATATCTTGTGGGAAGGTAACTATTTATTACCTATTTTAGGTAAAATTTTATTAAAAAAATATTAAGGTGTTTTTTTAAGTTATGACGTGTTTTTGTAGGTAAATAGACGAATTACTTAAAATAGTTTATTTAAAATTACAGTTACCTGTACTAGTCCGCGAAGCCATATGCATCCAAGTATGGCGTCTGAAGGTATACCCTCAAATTTTGAAACTGGAGCTGTCTCCACAACATACTTTTGGCATTTACGTAGTGGTAAGTATTTGTAACACATCTTAGAGCTGATAGCCGTTGGGGCAAACAAGTTCTCGAGTGTTGACCACGGGCCGGAAGACGTAGAGTGGACAAACCTCCCACTAAGTAGACCGACGATATAATAATATGGTGTAAGTACCTGCATGCGGGCAGCGCCGGTTGTTGTGGCAATACTTGGGGAGGCCTTTGCCCAGTAATGAACGTCATTTGGCTGAAACGAATGAAGCAATTTAAAAGGTTTACAAAATGTCTTTTTCAGCTGTATCATGAGGCTGTAGCAGTGGGTCTTCTGGAAACTGTGCTGTTCCATGAAGACGGAGCTCAGTGCGTAAGCGAGGTGATGGTAGACTTGCTGCACTATGCAATCGAGCAGTTGACTACTCTCCTGGCTCTGATAAAGTAAGTTGACTTACTTAGTTGCTCTTTATAACCGATTTAAAAAAGGAGCAGGTTCTTAATCATGCTATGGGAGCTCGGCCAATCCCAAAATGATCTAGTGCCGTGCCCCACTCCAGAAAATCTTACAAATACAAAATTTATATACCTACTTATGACACTAATAGCACCCGCGCGGCTTCAGGTGAGGGTCCCCCCCCCCCCCTGATAACCCTTGATGTTCTCAATTCGACTGTATGTTTTTTTGTAAGAATCACGAGTATTTTCTCATTTATTTTTCTTCTCTTTCTAGTGACAACTACTTGAAGCCACGGTCAGCCAATGATATAGAAAAAGAGACACCGGACCAGGAGCTGGAAAGGCAGAAACGTGATCTGCAGTTTGATATTAGCATGAGATGCATAACTATTGTACGGTATGTAATATTCACTTGATTACTTATCTAAGACTAGATTGCATTGTGTTAAATGTCTAAGTGTTCTAATCATGATTCTATCGCCCGTATTCACAAACATTACTACAGGGTAACACACGAACCAATCACAGAGCTCTATTCAACGCTGTGCGGTCGATTTGATGCTTAACTTAAGCAAGCACCGTTTGTTAATACGGGCGTATTGAGGTTCTAAAGGCGCCTACTTATGGCGCCTTTAGAACCTCAATACGCCCGTATTAACCTACCTACTGGTAGGAACTAATTCTTTCACCAATAGAAGGCTACATTATTTAGAGTAGACGTGTTTAAGTGATGATGATGATGTGTTTATACTTAGTCGTTTAATACACCGCGAGTATCCAGCCTCCCGAGCAACCTCACATATTGATATTTTTTCTTTTCCCCAGCTACATAGCAGAGCATATGGAATCTGTGGGGGTGGGTGCGTCGATGGCGACCGACCTATACAAGACCCACGATGTGCCGTCGCTGCTGGCTCACCTGATATCGCTGCGCCCGTGGACGCGCTCCAACGACAGCGGCGAGCAGCAGATTTTCATCCGTATTTTTTATACATTATCAGCTAATATGATAGACATTTGCCCCTTCCAAATCATTAATTTGTTCCATCATCTTTTAATGAGAATTTTTTCAAAGCTGTTACCGGTTTTTACCTAATGACCCCAAGTAGAGTCCGACCGTTTACTATTACCTACAGTGCTGTGACGGTGACATTGAAAAAAATGTGGATTCTGAGTCGAATATTTAAATAAGTTGCCTAGTATTCATGAGGGGGTTGGAGTAATCAAGGGACCCCTTTCCGAAAAGTATTTCGCACATAGTTGACTGTTTTTTTTTTTTGCTTTAATAGTAGATAAATAACACATCACTTGCCTATTACTTTAGTGGGCGACTGGTTAAAGTAACTAATTTCGTTAAAAGTCATACTAATAACCAGAGTAAATACAAATGAGTAGGTCATCTTCATAGAAACGCACGGGCGCGGTTTGTATGTGAGCGCGCAAACACGTATGCGGCGCGCACGCACACACTGACAAAATTTAGCGGGGATTAGCGGGGAGCCAGTCGTGGTTGCGCCGAATTTTGTCAGTGTGTGCGTGCGCGCCGCATACGTATATTGGCGCGCTCACATACAAACCGCGCTCGGTGCGTTTCTATGAAGATGACCTACTCATTTGTATTTACTCTGTAATAACGTAAGCATCCGAGAAAGACTAGCTCTTTAGCTCAATATTGCAAGCTCTGCTGAAAAGATTGAGCACCCATTCATCATTGTTTCTTGCTAGACGGCCGCTGGTCGAAGCCTTCTGCCGAGGACCTGTCGCAGATGCACCGCAGCGAGGCGCAGCTGTGGCTGTGTCTGCGACAGTTGTTGTTAGAGCCTCGTCTCCCGCACCACTACACCATCGATGACACACGCCGCAGTACCTTCTGTAGGGTAAGAACGAATTGTTTCATCCACGAAGACGCGCCCCACCAATTTTTGGTCGAGAGAAGCGCGGGGTGGTGGGCAGTTTGATCCGAGCAATCCGAGCGTCATTATTGTAGTGTGCATGTACAATCATTCACGCACATGGATAATTTAGCGTGTACCGATAACACTCAAACATTAGCGGGAGAATGGTGGGGCGCGACTTCATAGATGAATCGATCTATACATAATCTGACTTTGTATTTTATTGTACTTAGGTATAGCCTGACCAGGAACATAAAAACCCTGGCATAGAGGCGCGTCAATTGCATTTGATAGTGCAACACTGAGTACAGTCGTACCTGTGTTAAATTAATAGGCTAACTTTATGTATCAGGATTCAGGATTACGGGCTAATTTGATATTTTCATAATTAACGAAAAAATATTATTATAGGTAACCTGGTTTAAATAAATTAAATGAAACCATCAATCGAGCTAGTAGGATTTATTTTATTATTCATCTATACTTATAATAAATCTGTAGAGAGGTCAATTCTGTACATGAAATATATTTTCAAAATAACTATCAGGGGGTGATTAGTGATCGATACTGATGCCAAAAATGCAATCAGTAAAATTTTTGTCTGTCTGTCTGTCTGTCTGTCTGTCTGTCTGTCTGTCTGTCTGTATGTTCCTTATAGAAACAAAAACCACTTGACGGATTTTAACGAAACTTGGTACAATTATTCTTCATACTCCTGGGCAGGTTATAGGATACTTAGGAATTCCCACGGGACCGGGAATTAGCGGGAAAATCCTTTTGTACGAAAAATCTAAACCGCTTAAGTTAGACGCTTGAAATTTGGCATGCAGGTACCTTAGTAAACTTAAAGCTTAGTTACAACAGGATATTGCAAAATTCCCATGGGAACGGGAGTTAGTGGGAAAAAACATTTGTATGAAAAAATCTAAACCGCGTAAGATAGACTCTTGAAATTTGGCATGCAGGTACCTTAGTAAACTTAAAGCTTAGTTAAAGTGACAAAAAACTTTAAAATAGGTAGTTGAAACAAACCACAGCTAATTTTCATAGTTGACTGTACTATACGATAAACATGTCAGTCAATTTGACAACCTTTGTCGGAAACATTATTCAATGAAAATATTGTCCGAACCCATAGTATTTCTCTTCGACAAATACTTTAACACATTGTGAACCACTTTTCTTTCACGACTATAAAAAGATTTTAGCAATTTAATTCACAAAATCAATTGCGCACATTTAAAATAAAGTTTGTTTACACCATGACAGCAATAGACTGACATGCAAGGTGACATTATAATGAAGTTTTCAGTTACTGTTGCCATTAAAAGAAATTAGTACCATTAGTTTTCCGCAACATGGCGAGGGTTTTTATGTTCCTGGTCAGGCTATAATATCTAGGTTAACAATAGCACAAAATTGGGACGATAGTGACTGAATTTCTTGTGCTGCTTTTTTTTAGCTACGGTCGCTCACGTTTGCAGCAACCAAGTTCTATCAATGTAGGATAACATTAACTTGTGCGTATAGTGCCATCTAACGGGGAGTGGCAGCTTTGAACTATTTAAATAAACGTTTTCCATCATGCCTTTTTGGCAATAATTTGCAGTAGGTTACACTACCTGTTTTTTTTCCTCGTTCCCTCAGATCATAGAAAGAGAATAGATTATGAAGTCGCGCGTAACTACAACGAGAACCAGTGTCCCCACATTTCCCCCACCACAGCTCCCACACACACATTCAACTGTGTAAAAACAAAGCGACTGAGAGTCTACGACAACATGTGCAACCGGCTTAAAAGTGCTGTGATTGGCCAGAAGGCGTGCCTTATGGCCAATCAATGGCCGCGTGACGTGACGCACACTTTGAAAAAAGCAATTAGAGAGAAGAAAGATAAAATGGAGTCGATAAGATATCGATACTTTAAATCCTGGGGGCAAGGCTCGAAATTGGTTTAAAAAATGCTTGTATGAAAACCTTTTTATTATTATACGTTATTATTATGTTCTTTAACGATTTTTGCATAAAGGAGTCAGTTCCATTTTGTATGGACGAAAAACTCAGAATCAATTATTGGGACTAAATGAAGTTACCTTATATTAATTTACCCCAACCAAAGCTCAATGTCGTTATCGATGGAGTATAGAAGTTATAGACTGACAAAGTTTGTATGAAAAGTCATGGGTTAAGTAGGTACTTGCGATTTTTACCAGTATTTACAATATTGGTAATATATTATTATTTACTTTAATAATAATAACAGGATCACTGTAATTATTATTAACTACTATCGCGCATTAACTTTTTAATTATGGCGAAATTCGTACCGCCTATGTTTATCAAAAATAATGCCTATATTAGGCTTTCAACTAGCTCTTATAGTAATTACATAGTTGACAGTTACTAATCCCTTCTACTATTGTTATTGTTTTTGTAAAAACTTAAAAATCGCAAGCAACTCATGATTTTTTCATTCAAAATTAGAAAATAGAAAATAATAATTTACTTCTATTTATCGATAATAGGAAACCGTATTAGAACACGAGCCCTGCACTATGTTACGACCGGCACATGCGGCCGTACTGTGTATTTTCACGCGTCAGTGGATATCGGAAGAAATAAAATACATTGCGCAGTAGTTACGCATGACATAAAGTGGTTGCTAACTAAATCGTCAATGTACAACGTGTTTGAATTTTTATCACCACTAATTTCGATATCGCAGTAAATGTCACGGCACTGAATTCGTTCTTAAAAAAGTTTTTTGTTTTTTTTATTTATAAGCAAAATACCAATGGATTTGCAATACTTACATGTGGTAAATGACTTCATTGTTCCTGTAGTTCTTCGTTTCACTTATGTTATTGCACGTTACGACGCATTATCCAACAATATCGGAGAACATTTCCTCAGTACGACTGAATCGCGACTAACCTGGCGTCGCGGCCGATGTTCGTTTCTGGGCATATCGCGGAGACACGCGCCACGCCCCCGTTTCACATCTATTCCCTTCTATGATCTGAGCTCGTTCCCCTTTCTACTAAATAAATAACTGCCATGCAAACTTGGAGTATATTAAAATTTACAACTTGAAGTAGGTATTATATACGAGGGCTGCACTAAAAGTATCGGGAATGGAATATTTCCACTGTTCCAGTCATATTAAAATCTATTTAATTGCAAACTCCAGGGTTTAAAAAATCGTATACCATTTATTTATTTAAAAAAAGATTCTCGGTCGTATCACAAGGTCTTGTCAAACTTGTTTAGTCGTTGAGAAAATGGAATTGACTCGAGAAAATTCAAGAGCGATGATTTATTATGACTTTTGAAGTGGTTTAACACAAAAACAGTGTGTTGACCGGATGATTTCTGCATTTGGTAATGAAGCCCCATCCAAAACCACAATTTATCGCTGGTTTATTGAATTTCAACGTGGACGTTTCAAGCTCAGTGATGATCCCCGTCAAGGTCGTCCAAAAACTGCAGTCACCTAAGAAAACGTTGATGCTGTGCGTAAGCTGATTGAAGAAGATCGACATGTGATATACCGCGGTAAAACCAAAAATCGCATGTCTCTATCCCTATTACAACATTTGCTATGATCGTTTGAACAAAGGCCTGCCACAACATTTTTCTCCGCTACAGTTAGAGACAATTTTAATTTTAACTAAAATGCTTATTTTACTTTGAAATCTTTTGTTTTTATTTGAAATCTAACTTGTCTTTATCAAAATAACAAATCTAGAGCCATTTTCAGTTTCGTTGTTAACGAAGCGTTGAATGGCGCGCCCGGAGAGGCTTAGTTCAAACGATCATTGCAAACGTTGTGATAGGGATAGAGACATGCGATTTTTGGTTTTACGAAGGTAATACGATAGAAAATAATACAAAGTAATAAAAACCACCGGTTATAGGGGCATTTTTTGGAGAAATTTATCAAATAACAAAAAAAACACGAATTTAAAAGCAGATTTTTTTCAAAAAGTTAATTTTTTTATTATTTGTTGGCCTTTTTTATGTATTTTATGTATTTTTTTAGTATTGCCTGTTATTTAGCATTATTACTGTTTTTATTTTATCAGGATATACCGCTTAGTTTAAAAGTTATTACGTTTTCTTTACAATAAGTAATTGGAAGAAAAAAAATTGTATAAAAAATTAAAAAAAAATCTCAAAAATTTTTTGACCTCTTTTTTGTCGATAAAAATAGGTCTAGTTTCATCTTTTTTCATATGTACACTTTAACGTGACTCACACTGTATATATAATGAAGATTTTTCTCATGTATGACTTTTACTGTTTTTAGGGTTAGGGTTCCGTAGCCAAATGGCAAAAAACGGAACCCTTATAGATTCGTCATGTCTGTCTGTCTGTCTGTCCGTCCGTCTGTCCGTCCGTATGTCACAGCCATTTTTTTCCGAAACTATAAGAGCTATACTGTTGAAACTTGGTAAGTAGATGTATTCTGTGAACCGCATTAAGATTTTGATGCAAAAATAAAAAAATAATAATAAATATTGGGCGCTCCCCATACTTAGAACTGAAACACAACAATTTTTTTTTCGTCGAACACATACGTGTGGGGTATCTATTGGATAGGTCTTCAAAAATGATATCGAGATTTCTAAAATACTTTTTTTCTAAACCGAATAGTTTGCGTGACAGACGCTTCCAAAGTGGAAAAAAGTTGGTCCCCCCCCCCCTCTAACTTCTAAAATAAGAAAATGAAAAATCTAAAAAAACATGTACATTACTATAAAAACTACCAACGAAAATTGTTTTGAACGAGATCTAGTAAGTAGTTTTTTTAATACCTCGTAAATCGTAAACCGCTTATTACCGCGTAATCTTTCATACTAATAACTTAAATAAAAATAAAAAAAAATTCATAAATCAATGGTACAGAACCCTCGGTGCGCGAGTCCGACTCGCACTTGGCCGGTTTTTTTTAATAATACAATGCTTAAATTAGTGAATTA